CATTCGTTATCTTACCGGTAAATCATCTTCATTAACCTGCATAAATACTGGTGTACAGTCAGTGTTCTAATACAAAAAAGTCTGAGTAAATATACACCTTTCTTATCAAAAAAGTATTTGCTGAGTCATCGTTCGGCTTTGAATAAAAATATTTTCTGTACTGCTCCTCCCCCCGTTCTCTTTATTTCTCTTTTTCAGCACCTTATTTCAATCCTTATTTATTAGTCTGGATATTTTCCGAAGACTTGGTTACTTTATCCAGGAGCCTGTGAATTTATTACCAGATCTTAGCTAATTTACCTCATCAGTTCTTGTTATATGCAGAACTCGCTCTTTCTGGCATTGTTTCGCAGTCATTAAGAAACTCGTCGTAAGGCATCCTTTGTAACTCACGCCAATTATTCTCATGGTACATTTTAGAGTCGGAAAAATTATCTATAATTTTATGTGGAAAATTTTAGTCATCTAAATGGTGCCAATGTATCTTGTGAAATATTTCAGTAACAGTACATTGTTTTAACAGAAATATGTTGCCAATCCTAACATTTTGTTCTTGCCTGTAAATTGGCATGTCTCTTGTAACATGTTTGTTATTTGAGAATAAATTATTATTATTATTTGCTGAACTCACCAACTGTATATCGTCCCGTGTACAGATAGCCAATGGAAGATTTGGACTAATGCCAATCGCCCAAAAACAGGACGAGATACGAAAGTGAATATTCATCTGCAATCGGGACGTAAGAATACTTCGAATAATTTTGGACCTACATCAGGCCCACAAATTAGAAAATTCGTTAGTCCTATTGGCAAAGTACAATTTCCTGAAGACCGAATATGTAAGCCTTATGATGCAGAGCTTGTTGACGTCTATCCTAGTCAGGAGTCAGTATCTGTAGAGGATTACGAGGCTTTTAGGAGGATAGCGAAGAAGAAAAAAAGCAGAGGGTTCAGGCATCAAGAAAGATACGATGGAAGACGTCCCCTAACTGCTCGAAATCCAAAAAATGGGAATTTGGATTCGAGCAAAGAGAGGATAATGGGTGCCGTGAATATAAATGAAGATGAAACAGTTTTGACCATATGGAACGAAGTCTGTGTTCGGAACCCTTCATGTAGGGTAATTTATCTGCCACGACCTGAAGCTGATCCTAGGATAGCAAGCGTGAATAGTGACAAAGTACTTCATGTTGCTGCGCGATCTGTATGTCAGCAGGCTACTGTCTCCAGTTTCCCGCGTATCATAGTGGTGGAGCGGGAGATAATAGCAGCTTAGCAAGGTCCAGCTGATGTTTGTTTGCAATCAGAAGGTGATGGACAGTTGCATAATAGTCCTACCGAGAAATCCTATTACAAGCTGGCCTGGACAACTATACTAAACAAGAGCTCATTCATAACTTCTTGAGCCGCAAAGTTAAAAATCATAAGAATAAATAAAATAAAAACATTATATCACTGAGCCTCTTTATTATATTTTGTAAATCAACATTATTACTAACAACTTGGTTCTTCTGGATTTCCTCTATTCATATGACTAACTTCCCATTAGTTATCTCACTACTGAATTGTTTTCATTACCCTACATAAGCGCAGGTGTACAGTTAGTGTTCTGATATTAAAAAGGTCTGAGTAAACATACCTTTGTTTTGTCCATAAACGTATGTGCGAAGACGTTGTTCGGCTTTGAACATGAATATTTTCTGTTCCACTCCTCGTCCCGTTTTCTTTATTCCTCTTTTTTCAGAACCTTATTCCAATCCTCATATATTAGTCTGGATATTTGCAGTAGACTTGGTTACCCTACCCAAGAATATATCAAAACATTAGTTGATGAATATCAACCAGACCTTTGTACATTTACCGCATCAATTCTTGTTATATGAAAACCTGTCTCTACCATCAATCGTTTCTCAGTCCATAAGATGATTGTCGTAACGCGACCTTCATAATTTGCGCCGATTATTCGCATTGTACATTCAGTCTTTAGGAATCCAATGAATCTCGTGAAATGTTTCAGTAACTGTATACCGTTTTAAAAGAAATATGTTGCTAATCTTAACATTTTGATCTTGCCTGTAAATTGTCTCTTGTAACATGTTTTTTATTTGAGAATAAATCATTATCATTATTTATATTATTAATATTGATAGCGTTAGTGTGATTGGCAGCAGTGGAAGCTTACCCTTAAAGCCTGCATGCAAACTATCTCGCGATTGGTCAACAACTGTGGAGTATGGAAATGTCACTGTGGATAATAACGACGATAAGTTTTAGGTGAAACCTCATGTGTCTATTGATGGCGGGATAGGACTGAATAACAAAAGTCATGGTAACGAGAATGGAATGACTGTAAGTAGTGCGGTTTCTTGAATTGCTACCAGTGTAGCTTTGTCGAGTACTTCAGTTTATGACAAGAATGGATGTTTAGGCGTGGAGAATGTAAGCGATGGTGGTGGTAGCATCAGCCACAGTAATGGCACTACTGAAAGGTCTCAACATCAGTGTCCTGGAGGCAATGAGGAGTCATCTGTGTTTCATGGACACGCTGCGGTGTTGAATATTCAGCATGAGGAATCGAGTATGGAATAATCCACATGTCAGCCCCCACCATCACTGACATGTACCACAAGTCCGAGAATGAGCACTACTGGCAATGATAAGACAGATGAGGTGAATGATTAATTACTGATTGCGGCATGATCTCTTGAAAAATTTTCCAATACTAGTCCAATCAATAAATTTGACATTACTCGACGAAACTTAGTTACTTAAATTCAGCCACACACTTCATAAAGTATAGTGAAATTATACAAAGTCACACTGTAAAGAATTTCATGTAGTGTTTGTTGATCCATCCGAAAAACGTGATCCATTGAACTGACTATGGACCATATATTTTAAACTTCAAATCAATTAAAAATTATTCGCAGGAGTTGCATGTCAGAGTACATAATTGACTCCAAAACAAACTGAGACAAGTCACTGACGTATTTACTTTATATTTCCTACTATGGTTTGAGTTCAGTATCGTTCCTGATGCTTCATCTTCACTTTATCCATCCAAAATACTTTTTTTATGCCTTGATCTCCATTGAAGTTAACACTATCGCCTATATTATGCTTTCCAACCTAATTTCTCACTGTGATATGCAAGAAAGTAATTAAGACTGATGCATAAACGTGCCAGATCTTAAGTTAATGAGAACTGACTTACAAATCACTTGGCCCCACAAAATCAACAGCCCGGATTATTTTGAAGTAAATCTAGGGTGCAAAGAATTAGTAAACAGTAGGTTGAGCAGTATATATTGTTAAGTCAAACCAGTGAATTAAAAATCAAAAACAAGCGACTGTGTAGTATGAACGTTGCGAAACAACAGCTTTCTTAATTTCCATCATATAACAGCAATCTAGAAAATCGAAAACATTTACGTATGCGATATAATGATGATATCATAGGTATTTACACGTATCCCGACTTAGCTACCAACTTCATGCGGTGGACGGGCTTGTATATCATGATGAACCAACCGAGCTATACTGGCTGAAACATATGAAGAGTGGTAAGACTTGGAGCGATATACGTACGCAAGAAGTTCTACCTTGTAGCTGACTGACTGACTGACTGATATATATGTACACCGATATATAACGGTCCCTTTAGCTATATTGATGCATACTGCGCTAGTACACTATTCCGGCAAATCTAAGTCAGTAAAATTAACACACTTCCAAAGGTTTTATTAACAACAAGTGACTGGGGACAAAAACCTCTAGATCGTAAATGAAACACTCTGGTTTCAGACCCCATATAAATACAAAGTATAAACCGGAGTTGGAAAACAAATACAAGCAATAAGTGTCATCCATCAGAAAAAACAAACAGTATCCAGTTAGGGAATGTGATGCTTACAAAACTACCCAAATCCAAGTTCATTTAACATGGCCTGATTATTTTAGTTGTCCCTTTGCTTTAAAATTCTCCTCACTAATATCATCCAGGTCATGTGCTTGCAAGGTATGTTTGATTCCTTGGAACTGCGATTTTATGGCATCCATTGAGGCAGCGTATATCAAGTTTGTTTTAATGCTCAAAGTCGTCGGGGTCCTAAACCAATATGGATACAGATCAAGAACATACCAGATAACAAAAACTAAAGCTGAGACCTTGTAGAATCCTTTTTGAATGTTTTGTGTTTTGGAAAATCCCTCCATGTTTACATATTTTTGTTATGACATGACGGACTCTTTCTGTTGACATTTTTGGTATTTTATTTGATTCCAATTTGAGATTTTATCATTGTATATTGTTATTATTTCTATATTTTGTACTTATATTGAAGTTTTTATGTTTGCTTCTGAACTGTACATATGTTGTTTAAATTTGATATAATATGGCTACCGCCACATTTTTGGATTCGACATCGTGCAGTATAGGAGTTCACCTAGACCTCGGAACATTGATACTCGTTCAGAGTAATTTTCAATTGGAAGGCGTAAATTTCGTTAGGTATTATTTGTATTTCCATTTATCATTTATTAATAGACCATTTTCCCCTAGAATTATTGTGTTTTTATATTAAAATCCGGAAATGCGTCCGACATACGTCTATTGGAATCGAATTGAACTGACACGATAGAAAATCCAATTACAGACTTTATTGGGGTATTCATAGTCATATACTGCGTACCGACCCTCATTTTTATTCATTGCATCTTTAAAATCATTTCTAAGATCTTCAAGCGTCGCATCTAACGGTAACGGTGAAAAACTATGTAGCTCTATACCAACCTCTTTCAGCTGATTTCATAAGACGGATTTCTTCCATGTTATCAATATGGAACAAGAGGTAACGGCATTTTTTGTTCATTTTTAAATCATTGTAAGCGAGAACGCAAGACGAATGACACTTTATGCCGGAATCCTAAAAAAACATCACAATTATTACCATATAATCAGTCCTGAAACCAAGAAACTAGTGACATGACGGTAGACTAACCATTCTGTACGAGACTCGATTAAAATCAAGCTGGCCGCTTTTCAATAAATAATCCAATATCCAATATCATTTTCACAAGCTGGTATAAACTGATTGACTTCTTCGCACCTGCTTCTTGTCCCCTCGGTGCGATTCTAGGTATTTGACAGTGTCCAATAAGTGGGAGTCTAGCCATTTGACTGCACTAATTCCAACCAGTTGACAGCTCCTCATGAATTCGTAAGTCCCGTGATTTGAGTGAATGCGCTTGTCTCAGGACAGTATAGTTTCTGGATACCATCAGCTATTATATCACCAGGTCGGAGATCGGTCGGCTGAAACGTTGAGAATAACGAGGAGAAAATTCCAATGCCAATGCTGTCCATTGAGGGGGGCATGGCCACTTTGTCAGGGAAAGCATTGCAAATTGAGACAACTCTTGATGGGAAGAAGTGGATGTGTGTCTAGGTGTTTGCCCTTTTATGTGCATTTTTTCGAGGATCACCTCGAGGGGCATGGTGGTTATGTTCTGTCAAGATGCTTGTGTTGGGACGGTTGAACATACTCATCAGGTCACCTGTCCGATAACTCAGGGGGAATAATCCCAAGTGTTGGAGTCTGTTTTTGTGCTGTTTATTCTTCAACCCTGTAACCCATTTAATTGCTCGTCCTTGCACTCGATCCAGAAGTTTTACTTCTCTTTTAAGACAAGGAGATGTGACGACATTATGAACTTCAAGATGGGGGAGTGTGTTTGTTTCGACGAGGGTCAAGAAGAACTCGGGATGATTGTACCAAGTTGTCTCGGTTCTCTACGCATTGTACACAATTTGCATTGGTGCGACACTCCGCGGAAACGCAAAGTCGCCAAGTTGAAATACATATCGAAGAAAGTAGCCACCACAGTGAAAGAACACACCTCATAATAGGATATTCAGGCATATCTCAACGTCAAAGCACCCATAGACGCACCGGACTTCGCAATCGCAGAAGCCTCAGAGCAATTGGTGAACAACACTTTCTACTCTTCGACATTTTTATCAAGATGATTGCAAGGCATTGAATCAAGGTGTAACACGTTCACCAAGCAACTAATATTTTGCATAGAACCTTGCACCATATTTTGCAGCACCATCTGGTAACTCAGATCAAATAACCGTCTACGAAGTTTGTAATATAGTGGCGAAATTTCCGAGTCACCGAACATGAAATAGCTCCAAGACATTATTATTATTCGACATCTGGAACAGCACTGCCCATTTTCCCACCACCTACTTGTCAATAAACAATGTAACTACTCACTCTACTGGTTCCGGCATATCTTCATAGAGCGTAGTATAAACCGTAAGTAGTGAAACAACTAGCAGAAAATTCGGCCGATTAGGTGCCAGTAGGTAAATTCGTTTCCTCTTGGTTACCATTATATGAAACTCCGTTAATTTTTCTTGCAGTCGCCAATTTAGTATCACTGTCGAATCAGATTCTCCACTCAAAAAGTTCATATCGTTATTAGAAACACGAGTTGGTAAATAAACTCCTCTTGGTCACGACTGGTAATGATAAAGGCCACATGCACTGTTTGTTATCTTGCAAAGATTTCTTTGGCTAAATGCATTTTATGATACCGTGTTAACCAAATTTGTAGTATATTAGCTTCGTCGATTTCAAGAACCCATATTCACTCAATCCCCAATAAATCGATCTCAATCTGATACCAAAATCGATACGTGCAACCAGCTTGTATGCACCATTAACATATTGATTTATGGTTAATAACTCAATAGCTTCTTTTAAACATTTAACATGAGCCTAACAACACAAAAGGAGGGAGGGTGGAGTTACTGACCAGCAAACATTGATGGTGTGAGCGATTACTTCAAACCACCCATGTTTGTGGGGCAGAACATTTTGTTTGCTTTCGGCTCTTTAGATTGATGAGACGACTAATCAGTAACACTGAGGTTGCTCTTATACGCTTGCTACTTCTGTGGTTCATGTTTCCAAAACTATGTTGAGGCCGCTATTCTGTCGAGACCATTGCAACATTCTTACTCAGGCGCTAACAGTATGACTTAGAGGGTGGCATTCAATAATAAAGAAAAAAACAGTTAGACAGTGCGATATTTTATTTATCAAATTTTTATTTTTACAAACTCTACTCTTTCAACTAGAATTTCGATTTCAACGTACATAAATCCAGCTTCTTACTTCGACTTCTCTTCTATCCACCTGACACTGCACAACTCTCCCTTCTTTTTGCTGTACTCCTTTATCTGTGCGTTATATTCTTATATTCCCATAATTTACTTTAATTTAAGTGGTCAGTATGAATTTTATCTTGACTTACTACTGTATTGACTACTTCAACATGACAGGTTAAGTAGTGCTTTGGTTATATATATATACACTTGCCACACTGCTGCCTTTTTCTCTCTCTCTTCTCCTTTTCAGAACCTCATTCGCGGTGGGAAAACCTTGGCTACTCTAGGCAACATGCACCCTAGGTACATGACTGTCTGGATCACAGCTCGTATCAAGCGCGTTCCATATGACCTTACCCAACAAATTCACTATTGATCTCGGCAAATCGCCAAAAAGAACCTATTGTGCACCTTCCTTCCTTATTTGTACTCTACTATTGAAAATGAGGCTGTACAATACTGTTTCTGTCAGTGACATGGTGTAAATATGCAATCAGAAACTGACTGTTATACTTATTTTAACTGCTATAACTTTACAGTAATTGTGAAAGCATTTGTGACAATTTGATCTAGCCTGTAAACTGGCGTGACTCTTGTAACGTAGTTATTTGAGAATAAATTATTATTATTATTATTATTATTATAAGTAGATTTGTGACATAAGGGATAACTTGACACTCCCTCCACAGCCGCTTTGTCGAACGGTTTCGTTATTTCTTTGCCTTTTGATAATGTTTTGCATTTAACCTTACTCAGGACACTTGTGACCATGTTTTATGTTTCACAGTCATTATTATTAGGTTGAAGTCACAGTTTGTCCTTATGATTTTACTTTGCCGCTGCTTGCTGACCAGCTGATTATAATTGCGTCGTGACTGACTAAACTAACGGTTGCAGCATGGTTCCTCAGAAAATTAATGAACACTAACTGCCAGCACGGACCTTTGTAATCACTGTTGCTATACTGAGGGAATACGAGAGAACTATATAATACAAATAAGAAGCTTGGAGCGAAATAAAGTAAACGAGAGAGAGTTTAGCCAAGAACAAAAAAGGCAATCTGATCGCTGAGGTTCAAGGTCAGTCGAACAGGTGAGTAGTGCACTTTGAACAGCTCCTGATTAGACAAGAGCCACCGAACAAACCAGACATCGAAGAGCCACGAACACACCTCTCTGTACACGATAACAAACAAACAGTATGAAAAATAGCAGTTGATAAGAAAAAATTCGTGGTCATTAATCAAGCCTAATTTGTAATTATGGTTGCTGTACTAAGTTAATGACGCGATATTCTCGTTTATATGTATACAGAAAATCAAGTGATTGTGTTTTGCGTAGAGCATAGAAACTGTGGGTGGTAGTTTCGATAGCCTCAAGTATTACCATTATTCCGTTTCCAAGACAGTAGCTGCTACCTTGACAGTGTGGTCGGGCTTGCCTCTCGAGATGTCGCACCCAGGTCTCCAAGACCAACACTAATCTATCTTCCTTTTCAGGTCCCTCAAGAAATGACCTTCTACGGTGTGGGCAGCCGGGAAGTGACAATCGCCCTAAAACCCGTAACATCACACGAGACAAAATTGGCCGAAATCAAATCCTTCTAACACCCCCTAGAACCTCTCTTCTCTCCGCAACCAACTCTACTCACAGTCCCTTTTCTCACAGCACTGCCAACGCAGACGAAGAGAGTCCACGAGTTCGTACAGCTGAACAATCTCTCCTTGACTGGATCCCAGCAAATAGTCGCTTGTGCGCTGTCCAACTAAACGGGATAGTAAGGACTCGTAAGGATAGGGACACTCGCCGTTGCCTCTTCGTCATATCTGCCTATGCCCCCATTGACTGCAGTTCAGACGAGGTTAAAGATGAGTTTTACAGAAAGCTCTCGGACCTCCTCCAAAAAGCTAGGCGCTCTGATATAGTAATAATGGCTGGTGACTTTAATGCTCAAGTAGGTAGACTAGGCGAAAAGGTGTAGCGACTGAGAGAACAGACAATGGTGACCGTCTGTTGCATTTATGCTCAGATAACCGCCTATTCTTAGCGAACACCAACTTTAGGCATAAGGAAAAGCATCTGTTGACCTGGCGACCTCCAAAATCGTCTCAACGTTGGACGCAACTAGATCACATCGCCATCAGCCACCAATGGATGGGTCTGATAGAAGACTGTCGCTCGTTCTGGGGCACATATTTAGATTCAGATCATGCCCTAGTACAAGCTCGTATCTGTTTGAGGCTTACTGGACGTAGGAAAGACACCGTGAGGAAGCGTCTGAGGGTTTTACTTAATGATAATCAAACTAAGAGAATATTTCAGGGGCAACTAGAAAAAGAGTTAAGCAACCATGTAGGCGATTCTCATCCGGAGGCAGGTTGGAAGGATTTAAAAAAGGCTGTGGAAACAGCAGTGATATCTGCTAGTAAGGTTAACCATATGGCTGGGATGAAGCCGTGGATTTCAGTCGCATCGAAAACGCATCCCACCTGGCTCTGAGGGCGATGAGGAGCGGAGTCAGCTAAGACGTAGGCTGAAAAAAAGCCTACGCAATGATCGAGAACAGTGGTGGGTGGAAAAAGCGAGAGAGACGGAAAAGGCGGTAGCGATAGGCAACAGTAGGCAACTCTTTAGACTCATCAAGGAAACTGGTATTAGGAATGCTAGTGTGAGTGAGAATATTTCGGAAAAGGATGGTCTTATTATCCATTCTCAAACCAGGAGACTGGATCGATGGGCAGAACACTTTAGGTATCAGTTCAACTGGTCTCGAGCCACTCTTCGGTTACCCACGATCTCCAGTCATCCTGAATGGCAAAGCGACGTAAGTCCCCCTAGTATTTATGAAGTTGAAAAAGCTGTAGGAAATCTGAAGCAAGGGCGAGCCACAGCTCCTGATAGACTGACACCTGAGATATTTAAGGATGGT